TAAGAACTACACTTTATCAAATTTGCTTAACGTGATTAGAAGTCTGGGTAGATTTCCTACCTTGAGTGATCATAAACAGTGCAGGGTAAGAAAAGCAAGAGCTTCTGCTCCCAATAAAAGGAATTACTGTGTTAACACAAGAAATCAGGAATTGTTGTGACTTAGTGAAGGGGGCCCCATGCAGCTGACAGTACTGGGGGTTCAGGCACATAAATTGGAGAGGCAGCTGAACACCCACCAGCCAGCCTGCTCCTCCCCAGGACAGAAGGTCACCGAGCCCATCTCCTGGGCACATGCCTCAGATCTCACTGTCTGCAGCAAACCACCAAAATTTGGGAAAGCGCCTCTGGCTGCTGAAGCAGCTCATGTCTATGTTGTGAAAGGGCACTCAGGTTTGCTGAGCTGGACGGAGGCTACTGGAGATATCACTTCCCTTTTCCAGTGCTCAAATTAACTGGGGACATGCTGGCAGTCTGCCAGATCAATAATAGAATTTGCCAAGACATCAGCATCAGCTGGGGCTGCCGGGGCTTGTCCAAATCACAAGGAAGGTTTTCAGACCACTGGTACCATTTTTCTCCTGCTCTCCCTCACAAGAGGCTTCAAGAAACATCCAAACTGCCTCTGTGCTCCCACCACTGCCATCCCTCACTTCTGAGCAAGCAGCAGATCTTTGCACGTAATTATGGACAGGTTGGGTTTCAAAATAATAAAACCTTAACCCCAAAACAAAGCCTAGAGCACCAAATTTGCATATACTGTGTTAAAATAACACCTGGGGGCTGTGAAATGGCAGTTTACATGGGAAATGTCAAGTGAGGGTTGCTCAGGGCCACTAGTGTACCCAGGGTACTCTGCCTTCTTCCAAAGGATCTCACAGCAACAGGACAGACACCGGGTCACAAATGGGAGTTGTGTAGAAAACAGACATTTAATAATGGTCACAGGCTTAGTCCTGCACCCTAAATGCAAGGAAATTGTGCTGGTTTTGGCTGGGGTGGAGTTAACTGCCATCATAGTGGCTGATGTGCGGCTGTGTTTTGAATTTGTGCTGAACACAAGGTTGATAATATAGAGGTGCTTTTGTTATTGCTGAGTGGGGTTTACACAAGGCCAGGGCCTTTTCTGCTTTTCCTAAGGCCATGCTGGGGAAGAAGCTGGGGATGCAGGGGAGGTTGGGAGGAGGCACAGCCAGGATAGGTGACTCAAACTGACCAAAGGGGTATTTCAGACCACATGACATCATGCTCGGTATATAAAGCTGGAGGGAAGAAGGAGGAAGGAGGGGACATTTGGAGTTACGGCGTTTGTCTTCCCAAGTTGCTCTTCCATGGGATGGGGCCTTGCTCTCCTGGATGTGTTGAATACCTGCCTGCCCATGGGAAGCAGGGAATTAATTCTGTTTTTCTCTGCTTGTGTGTGTAGGTTTTGGTTTCCCTGTTGAGCTGTCTTTATCTCAACCCACAAGTTCTCCAGCTTTTGCCCTTCAAATTCTCTCTCCGATACCACTGGTGGGGGAGTGAGCGAGTGGCTGCAAGGGGTTTGGCTGCTGGCTGGGGTTAAACCAGGACAGAGATGTATAAATCATAGAATCATAGGATGGTTTGGGTTGGAAAGGACCTTAAACCTCATCCAGTCCCACCCCCTGCCATGGCAGGGACACCTTCCACTATCCCAGGTTGCTCCAATCCCCATCCAACCTGGCCTTGGACACTTCCAGGGATCCAGGGGCAGCCACAGCTTCTCTGGGCAGCCTGTGCCAGGGCTCAGCACCCTCAGAGGGAAGAAGTCCTTCCTAATTTCCATTCTAAATCTACCTTCTTTCAGCTTAAAGCCATTCCCCTTTGTCCTGTCACTCCACCATTACCTGATCTAACATCCTCCATGGGATGTCACTTCCCAGTTTGTTTCAGGCACTCTGCCATTTCCCCAAATGCATCTGGCAGCTGCAACAGGACACAGTGAAGGGCAGGATGGTCTCATGATCTAGCCTGACCTTAAAACAGATTCTGTGCTTCCTTAGAGGATGGCACCAAGGTCAAGAGGGGCACAGGACCCCCCCAAAACTCAACAGGCCACCCAGCACCCAGGACAAGACTTGAAAAAATCATGTTTTCAAAAATGAAGGATTTTTCCTTCCAGAGAATTGCTTCACATGAAACTCCACAGCCGCATCTCTCTTTCTCCATATTTTATTTTTACAGAGGAAAAAAAAAATCATAGTGTAACAAGAAATCACCAGCAATCAGTACCTCCAGTGTGGTACACACCAGACCAGGACATGTCCTGGGAAATTCATCTCCTTCCCAGGTAAAACATAGGTGTTGCTAACACTGCAATTTGCTCTGCTGTGCACATCTCATCCATCAAGAAGGAACTGGAATGGGGGGATGTGAGTTATTATCTCCTCATAATAATATGGGAGATGCTCAATGGACTCTGTAAAGCTGCAGAGCTCTTGCTAGGTGTGTGCTGCTGTCAGGACTCTGCTGAGGATACATCCACACAGGATCTTGCTGGGCAGGAAGGCAGGAGAGATGGCCCCAAACAGGACAGGTGAGCCTGAACCACTCCTGATGTAACACCTACATTGTCCTCTTTTGGCTGTGATAACACTCCAGCAACAAGGCCCAAAGGGCACAGCCAACAGGCCCCATGCTCATGTTCTGCCCTGTCTGAGCTGCCTCTGCCCTAGGACAGGACTAGAAATAAAGCAACTTCTCCTCAAGCCCTGCTGAACCTTTTTCCTCCCCCCACAGTTTTCCAGGAACAAAGAGAGATCATATTCACTGTAGTGCTCCCTGCAGATATTCACTGTAGTGCTCCCTGCTCACACATAAAGGCCAGGACACCTGTAAAGCACTGTTAAACCCACTTCCCATGCCAGAGCACTCCCACAGCTTCTGCACGGTTTCCACAACTCCCAGCCCCCACAAAGTCAGAAAATGGGGAACAGCTTCCAACTTCACCAGCCTGTGGGACAAAATCCACTTTTTTTCTGCTTTCCTCCCAACACATCTGTTCTGAAACCACCAAGACATAGTTGCTTGTTCTGTCATTATCCCCGTTGCTCATCCAAAGTGATATGCACAGTGCCCAGGCAGGCAAGAGATGGGCTCCAGCAGTTCACCCTCTGGCCCCTCTCCTCCTGGCCAAGGGGCATCCCAGGTTTTTCACCTCTTCACCTCAGTAACAGGTGCATTTCACTCTCTCCAGAGGTGGCCAAGGCCCAGTTTCAGGCTCTTTAAGCAGTGATATATTCAGGGTTTGGAGGTGACCTGTCAAGGGCTTGGAGTTTTCCTTCAGCCTGGCAGTAGCTCAAGATTTCTGCACAGGTGGCAGCCCAAGAGCTGGGGAAGGCCTGGGAAGGCTCAGAGGAGCTTCCACAAAGGTGCACCTGGGCACTAGCACTAATCCTCAAGGCCCTTGAGCACCATCTCCTGGTCATTCATGGATTTAGTGGCAACTTAACCTCCTTGCTTCCTCCATGTCACCATCCCCACAAAGCTTGGGGGGACCATACATGGGAGCCCTTCAAGACATACAACACTTCAGCATGGTTACTTATAAGCTTACTGCCACACACACAAAATGCCATGAGCTCCCCCAGCCCCCCTCCTGAGAGCTCTGCTGCTCTCTTCTTCCTTCCAAGTTTTAACAGGAACAAACTCTCACACTGGCACAGCCACATTGGCGCGCTCCTGTGCCACCATCTCTGCCTGGTGGCCCTGAGCAGCCGGTGCAAGATGCTTCTGGAAAGCTCCAATGTGTCCCCCTCCCATGCTGCTGTGACTCTGGGCAGCAGGATACAAAAGGCACTGCTCACAGTGTGCTCCCAGGCTCCAGGATCCAGCAGGATCACCCCTCTGTGTGTAAATATCACAGTGGCAGGCTCAACCTTTTGGCATGAGGAAAAAGAAGATAAATGCTACCAGTCCCCTCGGAGCCACAGGAACCCTGCATCTAATTGCACTTCATAATGGATTCAGCAAGCCATTAATTATCAGATTATATTTTAGGAAGCTGCAGATAAAAAAGCTTTATGAAATTTAGTCTCAAAGGAACTGGTGTGCACAATGAAGCTGTTGCATTATGCCAGCACCAGAGAAGCAAACTTTACAGCAGGTACTGAGTGCATTTTACAAAGCAGTGCCCCATGTGCCAGGGGAAGGTTCATGTGCAGTCATAGCAGCTATCCCACACTCCAACACCTTCATTAGTGCCATGCCACAGAGGACGCTGGCACACAGGCACAGCTCCTTCCCTTTTTTCAGAATGTCCCTGGTGAATTAGAGGCAGATCTCAGGGCTGTTTGCTCACAGAAAGGATGGATATGCCCAGACATGCCTGGGAGCCTCCTTCCTAATAGACCACAGCAAAAACATGGATGGGATTAGACCTGTGTGGCACAAGGTGCCATCCAAACAGTGCTGCAGTAATTTAGCACAACTCCCAGGAAGTCTCTACTGGAGGAGAGGCCCAAAGGTCAGCTCTTCAGCTCTGTGCTCTGTTTTCTCTGGAGAAGTTCTCCAGCTGCACAGCAATACAGGTGAGAGCAGAAGGAACAAAGCAGCCCTTACACCTTGCAGAAAATACCTGTGAGCACATCACTGATTCAGCCATAAAAATCTCCAACCTAAATTCTCAGGACATTTTTTTTTTGTTTCCCTTATCCATAAGCCCCAGCTTTGTCCTGTACCAGTCCTCTGCTCTCTGTTCACAGCAGTGGAGGATCACACTTGATTCCCATCTTTTCCTCTGCTGCTTTATTTCACAAGTGTTGGTGGAGACGAGTGTTCTACCAGCGGCTGACTGCAGGGAGACTTCTCAGGCAGTAAACGTCTATGAACCTCCCCTGTCCGTGGTTATGCTGTGCTTGCTGCATGCCTGAGATTGTTTTCCCAAAGAAGCCCCAAATCTCCCAGGTGAAACAGCACACTGAGCTCCTGAACAAGCCTAGTGGATACCAGGTGCCAGGCACAGGCAACCTCCTGTGTCCCTCACTTGATTTCTTCACACATCAGAGTGACTGTTATCAAACAAACGCTCCACAGTTACCACCTCAGAGCCAGTTTGTCTCATTTGGGATTTGGGCAACGTCACAAGTTTGGCATCATCGCAAGAGATTATGTGCTCTGCTGCTCCTTGCTCTGATGTCTGAGTCACCTGTGTGGAAGGAAGATGACCCAAGAGTCAGACATGTACAGCACCACTTTCCCCTGGATCCCTTTGCTGCTCACACCTTTCCCAGCCTCAGCTCAGGTAATAACATTTAGCTTCACACTACGGCTTCTGCAATTACAACAGGCATGAGACTAATAGGGAACATCAAACTACACACACCAATGATGCAAAAGAACACAGGAGAGTAATTTAAATATTTCTCTCCACAAATTGCTATAATTTAGCTCCACAAGCAATCGTAGACAGTAAACATTCTATGATTATCCACTGGAGGAATGCCATCCCAGGGAATCTTGCACACTGGACTCCCTCATCCAAGGAATTCTTCTTGACTGATGGATGAAATCTGGAAGAGGATGAGGCTGGGTTCAAACCTAGCACTGGGCCTCCAACAAAACAGCTGCAGTGTCACAGGGCATCATCAAGGTGTTAATAACCTCTGAGTAACCAGGCACCTCCACACATACTGCCAATCCTCCTCCTCAGCTCCTTAAAGTCATGACTGAGCAGCTTTCCCTCCAGCAAACCCGCTTCGTGCCAGCACAGAAATTCCAGAGTACTGTGGGCTGGGGTTTGATCATAGATCCCTCCAAGAATGGGAAATCATGGAGCAGAAGGGGCAACAGGGCCCAAAGAGTGGGTTTGGGAAGAATAAAAGCATAGGAGAGAAGGATGGGTGAACAATGTGACACAGAGCAGTCCTTATATGCACAATCTGGGCAGTGGTGGCTTGGGAGGTCACCTTGGATGATGATGCTCAGTGCTGAGGTGCCCCTCCAGCTTGCCCTGGGAGGGGAAGAGCTCACCCATGAAGGTGCTATCTTCTGTGTGAAGTGCTGGCTGGTGACGTGGCTCTGCAGGGCCCCAGGGAGCGGAAGGCAATGAAGCAGTACAAGCAGCACAATGGTTGGGAAGCTATGGGAGAAGCACTGTCCAAGTCTGGCCTGGACAACCAGGGCCAGCCTGAGAGCACAGGGAGCTGCAATGGGCAGGGCACACAGGGCTGAAACCCAGGAGGAACTGGCATGTGCTAGTGTCCCTCCTCCTGGCTGCACCACTGGCCGTCAGTTTACGGCTGCTTGGGTTCATTTTGGCTCCCTGCAGCACCTGCATTAAGAAGCCCAGCTGGTTTACCAGCAACTGTAGCTGACCCTGCTCACAGGAATCCCTTCTTCCTGTTCCCTTATACCATCCAGCACTGTTCCTTGCTGGCCTAGCTTGCATATCTCCTGATCCAGCTATTCCAAAATCATTACCCAACTCAGTGGTTCTCCACTTTCAGAGACAGCTTTTTCTAGGTCTTCTTCCTCATTCTCTAGGCTGCTGTTGGCTGTCTCCTCCAATGTTTCCTGATTTATATTCTCTCCTGCTATCCCATGCTCTGCCGTGGGGACCCACCATTTGTCGTAGCCTGGTCTGCCAGTTCACTCTGCCCTTACAGCTTGCAAACTTGCCAAAGCATGGAACTAGATGATTTTTGAATTCCTTTCACACCCAAACCATTCTACAATTCTATGATTCAAAGGGTCCTTGACATGGTGTCCCCAAGCCCAGGTTTGTCTCTCATCTTTCTAGTGCTACACTCACTTTTTCTTCAGTCTCCCACTAGCTGTGTAGACAAACGTAGTGCTTGGGGTTCCATCCATCATCTCCTCATGCTGTTGTGTCCTCACCTACACTTAGCTCTCTTCTCTACTGTAACAATCAAATCCATAACTTCCCATGATTCTGGTAGGTCCAAAAGCTTAACATGTCCCAGCCTCACCCAGTGTTTTTCCATTTCATCTTTACTTTCTGTTTCTTCACACTTTTTCCTTACCATGTCCCTCTTCACCCTCCTGTTTATATTTCAGACATCACCAAGAGGAACCATCACTGTTCAACAGGTAACCTGAAACAGCAGCAAAGGTGACAGACTTGAGTGCCTGCACTTCACTGAACCTGCAGGAGAGCCAGCATGGGGAACAGCTCCATGCATGACTCACACTCATGGAACTTCACATCTGCAAACAAAGCCAAGAACACAAAAACAGCTCTCAGGGTCTTTTACAAGAGACCTTCTAGACCACAGCTCTCTAGTATTTCATCACCACCACACCTGCACACAGGCATGAGGAGCATCCTCAGAGGAGGAGCCAGGAGCAAGCGAGCTGCAAGGTGCTGAGATGCTGAGATGTGATGCTGAGCAAGATGCAAGAGCCAGAAGAGACTACTACAGTTCACAAGAATCTACTGTGACTTGCAGGAAAACAGGAGGTGCAGCCTTGTGCTATCAGAGTTACAACTGCATCGGTCTCTTCTCCCACATAACAAGTGATGGGACAAGAGATCACAAATAGCACCAGGGGAGAATTAGGCTCTGTGCTCTTCCACATTTTTATAAATGACTTGGAGATAGGACTGGAAGGAATATGAGGCAAGTTCACAGAAGATACAAAACTGGGAAGAGCTGTTGCCTTCCTCAAAGGCAGGGAGGCCCTGCAGAGAGACCTCAACAAAACAGAGGACTGGGCCATCACCAACCATGTGAAGTTCAACAAGAGAAAGTGCCAGATTCCTTACTGGGGATGGGGCAACCCTGGATGTGTGGGTGGACCAGGCAACAAGAGGCTGGAGAGCAGCTGCAGGAAGGGACCTGGGATCCTGGTCAATGGCCAGCTGGATCTGAGTCAGCAGTGCCCTGGCAGCCAGGAGGGCCACCCGTGTCCTGGGGGACATCAGGGAGAGCATGGCCAGCCAGGCAAGGGAGGGGATTGTCCTGCTGTGCTCTGCAGTGGGGCAGCCTCACCTTGAGTGCTGGAGCAGATTTGGGCACCACAAAGTAAGAAAGATAACTATTAGAGTGTGTCCAAAGGAGGGCCATGGCAATGGTGGAGGGCCTTGAGCAGAAGCTGTGTAAGGAGCTGCTGAGGGCACTTTGTCTGTTCAGCCTGGAGGAGACTGAGGTCAGACCTCATCACATCTACCACTTCCTCATGAATGGAAGAGGAGGGGCAGATACTGATCTCTTCTCTGTGGTGACCAGTGACAGGACTTGAGGGAATGGCCTGAAGCTGTGTCGGGGGAGATTTAGGTTGGATATCAGGAAACAGGCTTTTCACCCAGAAAGTAGTTGGGCACTGGAACAGGCTCCCCAAAGAAGTGGTTCCAGCACCAAACCTGACAGTGATCAAGAAGCATTTGGAAAATACCCTTGGACACTCTTGGAGATGGTGCTGTGCAAGGCTAGGAAACTGGACTCAATGATCCTTGTGGGTCCCTTCCAACTCAGCATATTCTGTGATCAGGGAAAATTTCTTCATTAAAAGCATGGTCTGGCATTGGAACAAACTGCCCAGGGCAATGGTGGAGTCACCATCCCTGGAAGCATTCAAAAATGTGTGGATGTGGCACTTGGGGACAGGGTTTGCTGGTGAACATGGCAGTGTTGGGTTAATGGTTGGACTAGATCCTGGAGACCTTTTTCAACCTAAATGATTCCGTGATTCTCTCTCTCCAAGCAGTCACTATATCACTTACAACGGGTTCTTACCTGTGTGCTCTGCCTTGATGTGCTTTTGGTGAGCAGCAGTGCTGGTGAAGGTTTTGTCACAGCACCTGCACCGCAGGGAGGAGAACTTGGAGGAGCAGTGATTCTGAGCTGCAGAGACATCAGAGTGGTGGGTCCTATTGTGATAACATAGCCCTGACAACTGCTGCAATGACAAGGATCAAATCATGGTTGCCATCCAAAGCTGTTGGCTTTAAACCAAAAGAAAGCAGGTTTAGATGGGATGGGATATTGGGAAGGAATTCTTCCCTGGGAGGCTGGTGAGGCCCTGGCACAGGGTGCCCAGAGAACCTGTGACTGCCCCACCCCTGGAAGTGTCCAAGACCAGGCTGGATGGGGCTTGGAGGAACCTGGGCTAGTGGACTGTGTCCCTGCCCATGGCAGGGAGTGGAACAAGGTGAGCTTTAAGGTCCTTTCCAACCCAACCCCCTCTGACATTCTATGATTCTGTTGCAGGGACAGAATGACAGCCAGAAGCCATGTGGAAAGCAGCAGAACAGGGGAATTGTGCTCAGCAGGTACAAGACCTGCTTGTCTTCCCACTGGACAAGTACTAACACCTCACTCTGTTTCTCCATTGTCCCTGATGAGCTGAATACAGCTGAATCCCTGATCCTTGTCTCATTCACTGCAGATCTCCTTTTGGTGTGAATTCTTGTTCCCTTGCAGCAATGCGGAGGTCTGCCACAACATTGTGAACTGCACCAGGAAGGGCAAAGAGATTTGGCTCTTCACACACATCTTGCTAAAGCAGCCAGGAACTAGAACAGCTTGGTTATTTTTGGAGACTTTCAAATTTGCCAGTAGCCCTACTTTTCCTTGATGAGCTATGTGGAAAACCAATTAGGGAAGAACTAATCAGAAAGTGGTTGTGCTCAGTGGGGCAGGAAAAATGAGCTGAGCTGTGTTTCTCACATATGGAGCACATGTTTCTCACACGTTTCAGTCACTAAGAGCTGAAGGGAAGAAGAGGACAAGATTTCAGACTATTACTTTACTATATTGTCCAAACTTCCATCTAAACACCCCTGCTCCCAGCAACCCTACCTGAGGCAAGAGCAAACTCTCTTCCAGATGTCACATGCCATGGGGAGCCTCTTCTTCTTTTTCTTCTTGGCCATACCCACCATCCCATAGACCTCCAGCTGATGCTTCTCCAGCTCATTCTTTGTCGACTTGACCTCGCCGCACTCTTTATGCTGGATCTGCTTTCCTCTGGCAACCTGACAGCATTTCATGTGCACCTTCAGGCGGCAGTAGAAGTGAAAGACCTTATCACAGGCTTTGCAACAGGTTTTGCAGACAAAACTCTTATTGGAAGAAGCTTTGTCCTGGGATTCCTGTGCTTCTTTGGCACTGGCACCTCCTGCCTTGTCCTTATCTTTGTCCAGAACTTCAAATTGGGATTCACTGTTCACTTTCCACCTCCTGATCCCAGGTTTCTGCCCTCTTCCCTCAATCAAGAGACCTATGCAATTACTGTTTTGGTGGTGACCAGTAGGACTGAGTATCTGCCCCTCAGTCTCCCATCTCCTGAATGCTCCTACATAGTTTTCCCCGCTCACACGCAGCAGACACACATCAGACATGTTGTCCCATCACAATGGTGACACACAGCTCTGCCTAGAAGTGGTTCTGGCCATGCATGGTTAGAAACATAAAGACTGATCCTTGAATTTCTCCACTACACATGCAAGGGTCTGCATGAGATGCCAAGAACCAGGGCCAGATTCTCCTAAAAGCTTGTTTCTCAAACTCTTGCTTCCAAGCATTTGCCTTCTGCTCAGACACATGAAGTTACAGTCACGTTTGCAGACCTGAGCCTCAGGTATGATACTGTCAAAATCTGCCACTAAGAGTGGATATCCAGCCCTTAATTACAAGAAATCTCAGAAACACTTCACAAACACAATCCCTTTGAAAAGGAACAGATAATCTTGCTATGACCCTTTTGAGTCCTCTGCTCAGGGCCCTGAGGTATTTTAAACCACTCATTATGTTCATTTCTTAGAAAGCACAAATGCCTTCCCGAGTCCCTCTAACACCATCACCTCAAAAAGCACAAGCTGGAAAATTCACCCAGGATCTCAATCTACTGAAAAGACCCACAGGAAGTCTATGTATGGGAGAAATCAAAATACAAACAGATACATTTGTCTTCTTTACTATAATGAGAACCCGGAACTGTGTCGCCGTGGAAACTGGCACAGACTTCTCCTTTTGCCACTGTACAGGAAAACTCAGCCTGTGCTAGAAAAACTTCATCTTTGCCTTCCTCACTATGGGAAGAGCTCAGCACCGTGTCCCCTCGCACAGCACCACTGCCCCAGATTTCCAACCAACTAAAGACCAGACGACATATTTCAATGGACCTGGAAATCTTAAGACACCAAGTGGTGATCCATAATCTGCAAACACATAAAGGGAGAACAGCAGACTGGAAAACTGGTTTCCAGTCTGTCCTGTTCTATCAAAGTCACTTTGACTCATGACCTCTAAGATTTCTTTCCACATCCCTTCAACCAATCCTGTCAGTTTTTCTGACCTAAGTGAAGAATGATTTTTCAATCTACCAGTGAGATGGGAAATGTCTTTTTATTTAGACAAGACCACAAGAGCAAAAGCCTTTTTTATAGAGCTCTTGACACATTTCTGATATTTGAGAGTAAGACCAATCTTGACAAATACGATCTCCTAAATGACTGTAGAGAGCCCTGGAAAGCAGAAGGCTAGGGAGGAGGTTATGGAGTTGGCTGAAAGAGCCAAACCCTGCCCTTGCATGCACCAGCTGCCAAGAATGACAGTGCTCTGACTACAGCAGGGTTCAAAGGAGAAGCCAAGAGATTCCATGTTGTACCTCCACCAAAGAAACCAATCCATTACTTGCAGTGCTGAGCGTGGTTGGAGATGGATGCAGTTTCTTCCACAGGGATGCTCTGTGCCTTCCAAGTGCTTTGGTTCACCTAACTTAATCACTAGAATTTTTTGAGTTTTTTTGCAGTAGAGATGCAAAAACTGTTGTTTTCCTGTGGATGTGCAAATGGAATGGCTCTCCATGCAGCACATACATTCCCAGAAATGTAAGGTCTCCTCAGTTTTATAACAGGAAGCTCACACCTCCCTGACATGAGGCCTGAAGTTATCACTCATATCTCATGCCAAAAGCTACAAGGTCCATAAAGTCACTTGCAATATGTGGGCCTGGTAAGCAGTGATGTCAGAGCTGAGCAGACTGGCCTGGCCTCAAAATTAAGATATGGAAATTCAGCGCAAAGATCTGTAGGATGCCAGAAAGAAGCTGCTATCTGGCAATCCTCCTCTGGACACTTCATCTAGAATAGATGTTTTTGCCTAGTAAATAACATTTTCCAAGGCTTTTGCTTTTGATGATGCTTTTTGCTTGATTTCATCTCAACCTTGGCTTGAAGCCCTGAAAAGCCACTCAGTGGCAGCAGTCTGCTCTCTTTGATATTGCTGCCAGAGAGGCAGCAGCTGCCAGAGCAGTCACACTGACTCCCCAGGCCCCTCTGCTACACACGCCGAGGTGTCCAGGAGTTCACTCAGGCTGCACATTCACAGACACACGAATTTTTGGCTCATCTGCTCCAGAGTCATCAGGGCATCAGCCCTGGCCCATCCCACAGACACACAGAGTCAGGGGGAGTGGGACAAGTGCCTGCAGCATCAGAAGGTGACAGAATCAATGGCAGATAAGAAAGAATCACCCTTTCTCTAGAAATCAAAGCCATGACCAGGTGAAAATGCCAGCTGGATTGGTGGCAGCTCTTGCTACAGCTATAAGAGATAATGTAGATCTGAACTGGGAATGAATATTGGATTTGCAGCATAGGACCTCTCTCAGGAGACCACTGAGGCAAGGAATGGGAGTGGAGCATGTGCTGTCATCCTCCAAACCCTACAACTATAGCAGTCATCATGTGTTGAATATAGGTAAAACCTTATAAAATAAGGGCTTTGTTACCCTTGTAGAATCATGGCTCAGGCCTGCTACTTTGGCTAAGCAGAAGGGGGCTATGGGAAAGTGACTCAGCTGAATTGGAGGTAGAAAAACAAGCATATAACCATTATGTGCTCACATTGTGGTTTATGGTGGTTGGTTGAATTATATTTGTTATACTTCAATGGAATGTAACTGATAATGTCCTAACTGCTTAAAAAGGCTTGCTTTTTGCAATGAAGCAGCTCTCCTTTGCACCTGCCTGGGGACTGTGCATCATGTTGCTTGTATAATCGAGATCCTTGGTTTCTTCTGCCTGTGCCCTGCTCCCAGTCACCCACTCCCACCTTCCACCCCAGCAGCATTTCCTCACTGCTCAAGACCATAGGCAGGCCAACAAGCCCAGGGTTCAGAGGCTGACCTGCCCCCAGCACATGGGGGACAGGCTTTGCCTGTCCCTGCCACACATGAAACGATGGCAAGTGTCAAAGCCATGAGACTTGTGTTCATTCATAAAGACCGACAGCCTTGACCCAAATTTGCATATGAAGTAATCAAACCTTCTATCCCTAAAAAACCCCGACATATTAACAGCAAACTGCTTTTCCTCTAACTCCTCAGCAATCTGATGGTATTTCCACACTGCTTGTCAGCTAAGCAGCTCTGGCACTGTAAGAAAATAGGAATGGACTGGGCCTGTACTTGGCTAAAACCCACACTGTGCACATCCCAGAGGACTTTGCAGTCCAAATAATCTCGATATGCTGGGAAACAGATGAAAATATATGTAAGCAAACAGAATGAGCAAGTCACATTTGCATCCTTTCCAGGAGAATACACACCTGCAATTATCTTCATGACCCTCTGGTATCCTTGTCATTAAAGCACCAAATTCAGTTAAGCATTTTTCTTTCAAAGGATGGATGCAAAGTTACAATTGGGTTCAGCTGGAAAGCCTCCCACAGCTCAGGGCAGGATTCACATGTGGTTATTGCTCTGCATTTGTTCTGGAGTTAACAAATTGCTATCTGCATGTGTATTGTCCACAACTTTGCCAAACTAGTATAGCAGGTAACATTGTCCTACTGCTGTCAGACCCTCACAGGGAGGTATTTATCTGTAAAGTGCATACAGAGCAAGACTAAATTAAAACATTCTAAGAAAATTAACTCAGAAAATAGCCTGGGACTACAAACTGCATTGTTATGGTCATCTTTGCACTAGACAAGTGTGCTCTGTCATGACCTTTCCTCCACATATCTAATCTGAATCTGCCTTCCATCAGCTTAAGGCCATTTGGCCTGGTCTTGTCACTGCTTGCCCATACAAAAAGTCCCTCTCCAGCCTTCCTGTAGGCCCTCATTTTTATAAAACACCCAATAAAATATCCGGCACACTCTCACTTCAGCAAAGGGGCACTTCCAACTTTGGATGGCTTCCCAACTTAAGCAATGACCCTTGATCTCAAGGGCACATTGTGGGCACATTGGGACCTGCCCATGCTTTGAGCCTCAAATCATGCCTGCTATGAGAACATCCCATCATACCTCTTTCACTGCTTCCCTGAGCCCTGCCTACCCCAAAGCCAAGCCCTTCAGGTCTTCTCTTTGCTGGATGGCTTGAAAATCAGCTTGCCATGCCGCAGGATGATCTCAAGGCTGTGTTCTCACTGATAGCCACTGAAGGTGAAAATAAAAAGCAAAGGTATTAAGAACACAAACCCAAGAAGAACCTGAACCTGAGCTGTTAACAGAAGTGACTTCTTCATGGCACAGAAAACACCAAACTACCACATTCAAGCTTTGGTTGTACTAATCGCAGCACTGACATCTGGCATGAGGTCCTTGCAGACCTCCCTTCTCACTGCGTGTGCAACTTCGGGCAAAAAGATCAGGTTTTCTAAGGTATGTTGCTGAAAGAGACAGTAACAACTTCAAAAGGCAAGGCATGGTACTCCCAAGAGTCAGGATTTCTTCTCTCCCTAGTTACAGAGGTTCTAACTTCTGCAGAGAACAGGCATTCCTAGGCACAATTTGACTCATCTCAGGACAGCCACATGAAAATTGGCTGGATGCACCAGGGATCAGAGGCACTGGTTTTGCCATTCAGAACACAGAGGGGATGGGGGAGATCAGATGGAGGTACCTGGCTGCAGGTGAGCCCCATCTCTGTGCCCACAGGGCCAGCACACAGAGTCAGGCTCTGCTGCAGACACCACAAAACTGAGGACTCCTCACACTTGTGTAAGAGTTTGACAACAATTTAGAGGTACAAGTACAGTTTAGGTTTTAAAGCAGGAAAACCGAAAGCCAAGGCTATGGGGAGGACAGGATGGTGGCTGCACAGAGACCTCCAATGAGCCCTGAGCTCTCAGACTGATGTGCCTCCAGCTGACCATTACCACAGAATGGTGGCCAGCTCTCAAAGGTTTGCTCATTATAAAACCGGCATGCACAGAGCCACAAGCAAAGCAGCTGTGTTTTCCAAAGTGCTTTTCCAGCTATAACTGTTTCACCAGGGACATGGGTGTTGAGAGCCACTAGAAGAAAAGAGGTTACTGGCCAGGGAGGGATGAGGAATTAGAAAGCGGCTGCTGCCAGCAGCAGGAGAAACTCAGGGAAAGAGTAGGAGGACACTTGTGAGGAAGAAAAATTCTGAGCTGGGTTGTTTCTAGATATCCTTCATGAACAGTTTCGGGGATGCAGATTCCTGCACAGTCATCAGCAGTTGCCAAACAGCAGAGACAGACAAGGACTGCTGCTCCAGCACTGCCAACACAAGGCAGGTGAAACCACAGCCTCCTACTCACAACCTGCTCCATCACCTTGGAGAGACTCTTAGGGAGGCACTAACAGGGACCCCTTCCACCTGCCTCCTGCATCACACTCAGACACAGAATCCCCTAGAAGAGAATATTCTGACTTGAAAGGAACATGGGCATGACTGAGGCTCACCCAGACCCAGCCTGTCCTTGGTCCTACCTGCTGCCAACCTGGCTCACAGTGCAACTGAAGTGGGGACCACTTAGAACCTAAACACATCAGCCATTCCCTCAGCTTGCTGTGAACAAGCATCTCTCCTCAGAGCCCAAATCAGCCACTCTTAGTTGCTAATCTTCAGCTTCATATACATTAGCCTGCCTCACTCTCACTACAGAATCATTAAACCAAGTCCTGCTGGAAGACTGCCTGAAACCCAGAATGGCAGGTAGTAAATCAAGTCCTTAGGAATTCCAGTATTTCCCCCTAGATGGGGATGAAAACTCTGTATCTGCTTGCACAAGTGTAGGAGCCTGTTCATATCTTTCTCTGCAGGAGTCAGGCTCCAAGCAGCAGAGATGTCCTGCAGCAACACCTCGGTGTCTGTCAGGAGCTCCACAAAGTTCTCTTGGTATTGTCTCAACAGTTGGGCCCTATAATCCTCTGGGCTCCATTTGCCTGAATTCAATGAATGGAAAAACAAACAGCTCAGCTTGCAGCATTTTCCCAAAGGGCTTCAAAGGTAGGGGAGACAGGAAAGGCCCAGGCACCCAGTCCTCCCTAGGTCACTAATGCTCAGGGCCTTATGCTCAGCACACTTGGATTCACATTCCAGCAGAGGATGAACATGACAAATCAGAACTTCTCCAATGCAGAGACAATATAGACTATCTTCTACCCCCATGTGCAAACAGAAATTTGGGTGCAAAGAAATGCATCTTTGGCACCCAAGTGTCTCCTGAGTATCAGTCCCAGTCTGAGCCCAGAGGAAGAAAATCTCAGTGTTCAGCAGATGAACACGTGACCTTGTCTGTGAAGGCAACACCGCCAACACCTCAAGATGTTTTCAAGCCTCTTCTGATACCGTGGAATCACAAAGACCCCATTACTGACTCTTAACTAGAGCTTTGTTGTAAGAGGTCTGTAAGTCAGTGTTTGATCCACTCCACCAAGAAGGAGCTTGGAAATACCCTGGTTCATGTCCCTCTCATGCCCTTGTTTGACTATCAAACACACCAACATTTTACATTCAGGTGGTCCAAGGTAATCAAGAACCCAGTGGACTGAGTTGCCCTTGGTGAAAATGTTAAAGGCACACAAACCAGACTTGCAATTGCAAAGCAGCTGCAGCACCTTCTTCTCCCTCTTACATAAAAAAAAAATGTAACTTTAACCTCATTCCTTTCTCCTGTCTAATTCTAAGCTGGATCTGCTGAGTTTGCCTTGATGAATCAGAAAAATGATGACTCCAGAGTAAAACCCCAACCCTTTAAAGACACCCCAGTATCAGGACATGATAGACTAAGTCAGGAAGAGGAACAGTGTTTATTCAGGATAATGAAGAGACTTGGGCAAAATCTACTGTGTCCCAAAAGTAATCTAGGATTGTACTTGTCACTTGATAAATAAAACTGGAAATTGGCAAATATATTAATCTGGAAAGGATTTTTTCACCACCATTGCAGTTACTATGTTGAAGAAGAGGCACAGTTGTACCTCAGTGGGAGAAATCAAACCCAAAACCTGTAGTTCATCCCAGACATCCATGCATGATTTTTGTTCTTGTGTCTTTCAATCATTCTGGTTCAGTATCAATAAGAACAATCCATCATTCCCACAGCACTACCTGGGAGAAAAGCAGAAACAGCTTGGGAAAAAAAGGTAAAATCTCTGGGACCCAGAAAATACACAGTGCCGTGTAAGAAGAGAAAACTCTCTGGGATAGGAAGGAAGCAATAGCAGGCTGGGGGGATATGCAGTGGAAGATTCTGAGCTACTATGAACAGCTCCCTGAAAAAGACTTCTTGGACACATCAATCTGATCCCCAGGAAAGACAAGGGAAATTCACAGATGCAATATTTTCCTTCTGCTCCCATCAGAATGTTTCTGATTTTATGGCATAAAATTGAGTTGTTATGAATGCACTCACTGCTCTGCCACCATGCCAAGGTGATCTCGAGAACCAGCACATGCCATGTGCCACAGTGCAGGACCTCCTGCTCCCTATTAGCTGTACAGCATGGGACACCAAAGATACCACCAGTTAATTCATCACTTGCCAGCAGACTCAAATCATCCCCTCCCTCTTCATTTTCATCATAAGAAATATCTGTGCTTCTGTTTGTTCAAGCTGCAATTTGATGAAATTCAGTTCTGTGTAATTAAGTAATGCCCCTCCTTGGAATGGGTATTACCACAAGATAATTAACCATGCTGGGAATCTGGTGTTTTGAGAAAGCAATCGTGCTTAACAAATGACAAAGCCAAGTGCCTGTTGGGAATGTTTGCTACAGAGGAAATTATCAGCATTATGAGTGCAGTTTTGCTTTCTATTAAATCTTCATTTACATTTCACTGCATGTTAATTTAGATTTAAATTTTATATGACTTTAGAGTCTCTTGATTTGAATTGTTCAGAATGTGCCTAAACCCATCTAAACTTGGAAGGTTGTCCCACCAGGCAAAAGATGGGGGCTCCTGAATCCCTGAACCATCACAGGCAGGCAGCAAACAATAAAATCCCACCAAAACGACTAAGAGGAGTGGCCTGGCCATCCAACAGAGTGATGTGTAATGGGGACACTAAGTGTAGGATTCCCATCAGCACACTCTGCTCCACACAGGAGACCACGAGTCAGTGACCAACATAAGCAGAAATGCTACCTGGATCAAGGAAAGAAGCACAGCCCAAATAAATTTCCCCCCCCCCCCATCTTCCCCAATCACAAGGAATTCCAAATAAGACACTGTATTTAATGTAAAGACAGCTCCAGCTTAGGGGAAGTTTTAGGTATTTGTTTTCAAAGGCAGTCACTACCATAGAGTAAAGTCACCAATGGAAGTTTAGTTTACTCATACCTTTACCATCAGAGATGTTTGCTCTTGCCACCAAGTTGTCCAGCAGAGGCTGGAGTCCAGGGGAGGATGCTTTCACAGCCTCCAGAAGTTTCCACTTTCAGGGTTTTCTCTTCATCCACCTTCCTGATCAGATTGTCCATGGCTTCCCTCTGAGAGCTGCCTTCACAGCAATCCAAAGCTACCTGTAACAAAGAAACAGCCACAAAACTGTGACAACTTCCTACAACCTCCTGCATCTGAACAGAGATCAGAAAAACAGCAACAGTACCACAATACTGCTCTAGATCCCTACCCACTGCTTACACAATTTAACTGAAAGGGGTATAGGGTGGCAGTTACAGGAACACCCAAACATGGCCGAGGTGTAATAGACATGTCACCTTGAAAACAAACCTGGTGGGTTCTTCCACCAAGTCCAGCTCTTGGAAGTGGCTGATGAGCAAAAAAACTACTTTTTAAAAAAAACAAAAGTAGACTTAAAGAGAGTGTTCAAAGCAACATTTCATGTAATATTTTTAGTGAATACTTTTTAAAACTGTCAGTCTCATTTCGCTTGTCTCCGCAATTGTTCTGCTTGCCATCAAAAAATTGATGGCCAGAAGAAAATACTCTTATTATTTAAATAAGCAGCTAGCTATTAACTGAATTATTATTTCTCTGACAAGGCCATGTGAAACATCTCTTATGTGAGATGCAACCGCAGTAGTTTGGAAAAGCTCTAGGATGCCAGTAAAATACCTCTAAGGCTCCTACAAGGGAGAGGCACTTGGCAAATACAAGTGACCTCCTTTCCACCAGCACTGTGCTCCTGAGCAGAACCTTTGCAGGGCACCAGCCCAGTTCCCTGATGTCAATAAGCACTATAGAGTCCTATCAATTAAATTATAAAATTATTAATATCTGTCCTAAAACATTTTTGCTCCCTTTTTCCTGGTTGGTAAGATCTTCCACAGCCTCATTCCCCCACTGATTTTTCTAATTTTCAGCTGAAATTTATTCATGGCCAGTGTATGCCTGTTTGTTCATGTGCCAATACTATCTTTTAGTTTTAAAAGCCTTTTAAACTCTCTGAGGCGTTTACCCTACCCTTCCTCTTTGATTTCATTATAAGAGCATGATCATATTCCCTCTCAGTCTTCATTCCCCTTGTCTAAATAAGGCAAGTCCTCTTATAAAACAGCTTCTACACTCCCTTAGACTTCCCACTGCATATCTGTCAAGTTCCAGTATGAATTCACCTTTGTTGAACCAGACTGGAAGAGAAATTTTGGATGAGGTCTTAACTCTTAGTTCTCATTACCACACCCAACGCCCACCCTTCACTTCATACTGCCACATCAGTCAGTTCTCAGTACTCAGTTCTCCCGCCATGGAACTGGAGAACTGAATTCATGGAATACAGAATCAGAGAATCATTTAGGCTGGGAAAGCCCTCTAGGATCATCAAGATCACCCATCAACTAGCACCACCACCATGTTCACCACTAACCCATGTCCTCAAGTACCACATCCACATATCTTTTAAACTTCTCCAGGGATGGTGACTCCACCATCCCTGCCTTGGGCAGCCTATGCCAGCGCTTAATAACCTTCACAGTGAATAAATTTTTCCTAATATCCAATGTAAACCTCTCCTGGCACAACTTGAGGCTATTTCATCTTATCCTGTTACTTGTTACATAGGAGAAAAAACCAACTTGCACCTGGCTTGGACCTCATTTCAGGGAGTTATAGAGAGTGAGAAGGTCCCTCCTGAGCCTCCTTTTCTCCAGGCTGAGCTGTCCCAGCTCCCTTAGCCACTCCTTGTGCTCTTTCTCCGGACACTTCAGCTCTTCAGTGACTTTTTTGTCATAAGGGGCTCAAAACTGAACACCATTCATTCTTCTCTCTCTTGCAGATCCTCCTCTGTGTGGACAAAAGATTTTGATTGTGCTCATCATCAAGATTTGATAAACATGCCTTGGTATTTTTGTGTCCATAACATCATAATGTTAATATGAAGTAAGTAATAATATTAATTAATATTAAGTAAGTACCAAGAATCCCACTAGTGCCTGCTACAAGTTGTGAGTCCTGCCTTCAGCACAATCTGTGGTTGTCTCCCAAAGAAATGCATCCTTTTCAATATCACAGTTTCTCCTAGTTTAACAACTTCCTTACGTGAAATTCAAATGCTTTGCTCTAGATCTAGACCAACGCAGGAAAAAAAACCCCATTTTCATCTCATGAAATAAAGAACCCAGGTCAAGCAGAAGCAATTTAGTTAACACCTGAGAGGGACCAGTCTGATTTTTATTTATGCCGGAACATATATTATGTTCTTATAGGGGCTGTACATGTGCTAGCAACCCTGTCCCCAGGAAGGCTTCGCCTGGCAGCCAATCAAGGCAGAGAAGGCCTCCACGATAGGACTGTGAGTCACACACACACACACACACGCACACAGACACACCCACAACCACACCCACCCACACACAGACACATGCACACACACACATACACGTGCACACACAACAGACACACAGACACATGCGCACACAGACACACACGCACACCCACACCCACAGACAACCACACACCCACACACACGCACGCACACCCACCCACACACGCACACATACAAACCCACACAGACACATACACAGACACACAGACCCACAGACACACTCACATGCACGCCTGCACACACCCACAGACACACACATGCACACACACACATGCACACCCACACTCACACCCACACACGCACACACACACTCCGCCATTTTGACAGTGGGGCAAATGCCCGGGTGCCGGCGACCAATGCCCAGGAAATGAGACTATGGGAGCAACGTTAGCACACAAAAGCAGCTAAATGCAACACAACAGGACCTCCCCCAGACACAACTGGAAATGCTCTCCAGTTATTCAGCCCCCATTTGCTTTGGGTACCTTGGAGAGAGGGGGGTTTGCCTGTAGGGTCCGCTCAGCCCTCCTCCCTCCTTCTCGCCTTTTCTTCCCTGTGGTCCTGCTTCCTTGCTTCACCGTTCCCGAAAAACCAGCTCGCCATCGCGACGACCTGGTGCTCTGCTGCCTCCCCAGTGAAGCAGGCGCTGCTGCAGCCAGCTGGCCCTCATGCGTCCCAGGCACGGCCGCCGCCAGCCTGACCCAGCCGCGCCCGCAGCCGCGCCCGCAGCCCCAGCCTGCTTGCCGCTGTGTTTGGGGCGCTGCCGCCGCACGGACCTGCCGCAGCGCTAGCCCGGCTGTGCTAGTGCCCGGTGCCCGGCCTGTCGCCGCCGCCTGCACCCAGCCGCAACCATCGCCCACAGCCGCCGCGCCCCGACCCCCAAAACCCGCGGCTGCTCCAGGGACGCGCCCGTGGCCACGGCAGCCCGCTCTCCCCGAGATAGGAAGGAACACGCAGTCTGCTACTGTTTGGAAATCGTGCCTGGCCCACCAGAGGAGCTACGGAGACGCAACGCGGTTCACAGCACACACGCTCTGCCTGCTAAGCTGATGCCGACAGACCACCTGGGTTCTTGAGGTAATGCTGTCCCTGTCTTCTGTTTCTTTCTCCTTCTCTCTTTTCCTCTCTCTGCTCCTTTTCCTATCCCCCTTAGGAGTAACACTTAACCTTTTTTATCAATAAACAGTTCTCAGATATACTGTTGCATTTGTACTTTATTTTAGTCCAAGAAATCTATCAGAAGAATCCTCCCCCTTTTATAGCAGAACAGGACGATATCCTTTACTGCATTTTCTCCCCCCCCCTTTTTTTTTTTTTCCCTTACAAGTTTCACCTATATGTGCTCTCCTGCCTGTCCCAAAGAGCTCAGATCACTGCCTTTCTCTCCAAAATGTCCTGCTCATCAACTGTTGGGACCACTCTGAGCTTGGAGAACAATAAGAAGCCTTCTGTCACTTGCATAGCACAGCTCTCAGTTCTTCCCATCTGTTCACAGAATCACAGAATAGTTATTGTTGGAAGCAACCTCTGGAGATCATTTAGTTCAACTCCTCATGTTCAACCCAGAGCAGGTGACACAGGAACTCGTCCAGGGGGATTTGGACTGTCTCCAGAGAGAGGGAGACTCCACACCCTCCCTGGGCAGCCAGTTAGAGTTGTCTGCCACCCTCAATGAAAATAAGTTCTTCCTCATGTTGAGGTGGAGCTTCTTATGTTTTATTTTCTGGCCATAGCTACTTGTTCTGTCACCTAGCAGCACTGAACAGTCTGGCACCATCCTCTTGGCATCTTCCTTGAGATATTTGTATGCATTAATGATCCATTCTCAGTCTTCTCCAGACTATCCAGGTCCAGCTCCTACAGTCTCTCCTCAAAAGAGAAATGCTGCAGGCCACTCATCACCTTTGTAGCTTCTGCTGGACCCTCTCCAGTAGCCCCTTGTCCTTCTTGGGCAGAACCAGACACAGCACTCCAGGTGCTCCTCACCAGGGACAAGTGGAAGGGGAGGATGACCTCCCTTGACCTGGTCACAGTCTTCCCAATGCCCCCCCAGGATCCAACTGACCCTCCTGGCTGAGAGAACACACTACCAGCTCATGGACAGCTTGTCACACACCAAGATTCCCAGGGCCTTTTCAGCAGAGATGCTCTCCAGTTATTCAGCCCTCAGGCTGTTCTGGTACTAGGGATTATCCCTCCCCAGGTGCAGGACCCTACACTTGCCCTTACCGAACCTCATTCAGTTTCTCTCCACCCAGTTCTCCAGCCTATCAAGGTCCTGCCGAATGGCAGCTCAGCCTACAGGTATATCAGTCACCCCCTCCAGTTCTGTATCATCACCAAACCTGCTCAGGCTATCCCTCCATCCAGGGCATTGATAAATAAGTTGAATAAGTATTGATCCCTGGGGAATGCCACTCACTACAGACCCCCAGCTGGATTCTATTCCACTGTTCACAACTCTCTGCCATTCAGCCAGTTCTTGATCCATCTCACAGTCCATTTATCTAACCCACATTGTCAGAGCATACCTATGAGCATGTTGCAGGAGACCGTATCAAAAGCCTTGATGAAGCTGAGGTAGACACCATCCACTGCTCTCCCCTCGTCAACCCATCCTGCCTTGCCATCATAGAAGGCTTTCAGATTGGTCCTAATGGATTGTTGAGGGATGTCATTTGAGTTGTGATTTTCCTTTACCTGCAGGAAATTTGTGTTTCTGTGTTTCTCCTAGATCAGGCTCCAAGCTAAACCATGAATTTCCAAGGTCATCTCCTCTCTTCTATTTTTTTCTTGGTCAGACAATATCTGCTGTGATGTCCAGCAGCCTGATGTGCCACAAGCCTCTCCATAGCTCCACAGTACATTTGTTTGCCTGTCAGACATTTCAGCCATTCCCTGAACTTCCTAAAGCTCTTCCTCAAGTTATTCACTCACTCAGGTATATAACCGCTCATATAAGATCTTCTCTCTCATTCAGGATGCAAACTTCAGACAGTTCCCCTACCTTAAACATAAAAGAAACTAATCCAACAGCTCCTCCTGCGCTCTAATGAGCACCTGAACTCCTTAATTAGTTTCTCTCATTTCTAAAGATCTGTCCTTTTATAGACCAAACTCTGCTAGTGAACCTGCTGATGTATTTTCCTCTTTAATTCACACTGACCTGCCTCTAGATCCCTTAGTCTGAAGTCCTCTTCTGAGAAAACACAAGAAGATATACAAGAGCAGCATTCTTCAGGGAGCTCCAGCAGTAACCTACCACTGCTCCCAAGCAGAAGAAATGTCCCTGGCAGTGGGAGATGCAGCAGTGACATTTTAAGACTTATTTTGACACCACCAGGTGAGACAATTAGAAAACATCCCCCAATTCTGCTTGCAGTAGGATTTTTCCATCACCAGTGTAACTAGTTAAAATTCCTGCAGTGGCCAACAACCTGCTTGCACTATCCCTAATACCTGTCTGAGCTCTGAAGCAGCTTGGTTTGAGCATCAAGGTCTGCAGGCACTGGAGTCAAAAGGGAGAGAAACCACATAGCTCAGAATACCCAGGTGCCTTCTAAAAGAGAGCCTAAACAGAAGGAAAAGGCTGATGTTTCTACTACCTACTCTGATTTTCTGGGTTCAATGCTGTATTGTGGAATGATCACGGAGCTCTGAAACAAACTAAGCGGTGTGGTGCACCATGCAGAAGTTACCCACTCTGTATCCGCTTCATTTCTCTTAAGTGATAACTTGTATCCAAATCCTCTGTCCCTTCCCAATTACAGAAACACCAAAAAAGCCACAGAAATTAAGCACTCAAAAAAGAGAAAGGCTATATTCAAAAGTTATCCAGAAAAAACAGAGATTTACAAAGATGCTTCATAAAATATCATGTACTGGTTTTCCAGCAAAGAAATTCAAACTTGCTCCATTGCACAGCTCGGACCAGGTACAGAAAGAACCCTGTTGCCATGAAAAAAGGCTGTTCTGTGAGAAACTCTACTTGTCTTGCTGAATAAGTGTGTAGCTAATGAAACAGTGATAGTGAGAAGAAAAAGGAAAGCTCATCTTTATGAACCTCTGGAGAACTAGACCCCATCCCTGCCAGCCCAGATCTCCAGTGCAACACTGGATGAACCAGATAAGACAAAACCTTCAGAGATGGCTGTTAGTTCCAGGTTTGCTTTCCCAGTCCTACACCTGAGACACTGGGGATTCCACCCACATACATGCCATGGACCCATTATTTTTATCAGTTTAACTTCTGGAATAATTAAACGCTTTCCCACTTGTCTGGGGAAGAAGGAGTGCAATTAAGCAAATAAACCCCCCAAGGTCAGTCTACGCTTGGCAATTTCTGTCTTGTTTTCTTGTGCTGCAGCAGGACAGAGCTCTGCCCACAGCCTCACTGGAGTGCTCCCCAAACAGATCTGTCATTTGATGGAAACTGTGGGCTGAAACAAGAGCATGAAGGGATCCCATAGAGAGGAGCAGGATTTCATATTTGGAGCAGGGTTTGGGGGCTTTGTAGCAAACGGAGCAGACAGTGACTGGTGAGAATGAAAAGAAACACTGCTCCTCCACCAAATGAAGCAGGAGCTCGGCAGTACATGATGATGCAGTTACAGGCTGTATCCTGTTCCCAAGAAGCAGAATTATGATTGCAGAATGGTTTTGGTTTACTATTGGGGTGTTGTGTTTGGTTTTTTCAATGTGAAGGGAGAAAAAGAATTGCTGAATTTTAACCATCTAATTCTATGAAGACAAAGAGAAGTGAGCAGGGAAAAAGTGAAGCCTTTAAAAGAAAGGCTGCACTGCAACAGGAACAGGCATATATGAAGATCCTAATCTCCCCACTGCCGATGAAGCTTCAGCTCCAGGCCCCCAACATGGGTCTCTGCTGACAGCCACAATGCCCCCAGCAGATGCCAACTCCTTTGCTATACTTACACCCTGCTCTCTCTTCTAACATCTCCATTCCAGACTCAGCTGTGTGCTTTCAGAGGCAAAACTTCATCAGACACCAGTCACACCCCAGTCACACCAGTCATACCCCAGCCCACAAAGATAGGACAGATGCCTCTGTTGGCAGTACCTCTTTAGGTACCCTATTCCAATCTGTGCCTGTTCTCAGGGATTCTCCATGCTGGATGTGGTGAGGGACCATGAGACCTTAATTGAGGGGCTTATGAGGTGGGCTGAAGTTCTCAGGCCCACCTGTTGTGGCTCTGGTCAGGCTTACTCAGACAGAAAGCAGAGATCATTCGTGCCACTGAGCAAAACTTTCCACTTACTATAATCCTGTGTCAGGGGAGCTCAGTGATGTGACAAACTAGGACAGGAGGTCAAGCTGCATCCTGATCACAGCTTGTGAGGTCACCCTGTAATTTCCAGCTGCACAGGGTACAGCTAGCTCCCCTCAAAGACAAAGGAAAGCAGGTTATAAACAGCGTTTTGTCCTTTATGACTTCTGCAAATCAGCATACAGAGTGCAGTTGCTTACAGAAAAGGAAAGCAACAGTCCTCCCCACCAACTGCTGCCTGCAACACATAAGAAATAAAACCAAATTATTTAGTAGATGCTCTAGTAGATGTTACAGGCAACTGTGTGGTAAGAGTTGCAAAAATGCCAGAAAAGTGGGAGACAGCCAAAAGGGAAGCTGATGACCAGGAACTGACAAGCAGGTAGCAGAGAGGTGGTTAGTGGTTCTGTTCAAACTCCCCTATAGAACCTTGTCCTTGCTCCCAAAAAGGCTTTTTCAGGGTATGAGGAGAACTAGGTACCTCCTCTGGCCCAGGCTCCCCTTGCAGGGGTAGTCTGACACTGATCCTGGTCTCCAGGTTGCCTTCACTGCTCAGTTTTCACTATTCCCACAGTCCAGCACAGAAGGACCTGAGACCACACACGTGCAGTCGATGCTGTGCAGAAGGCAGGGAGAAGGGCCAGGTGAGGCTTGCCCATCATCTGGTAAACTATGTGTATGATGCTACCTTGAAGACACACACAGCCCACCCTGTCCACACAGTTTGCCTATTTCAGATTTTTTTACCCCCTTCTCTGAGGCAGTCAGGAATCCCTCTTCTACTGTCTCCAAAACTCTCTGATGGGGCTCAGCTGCATCATGCTCCAGATCAGCTCCTCCCTGCAGCACAGCAAGCGAGCGGTCAGCATCTCTTCATCAGCTATGCTCTCTGGGGGAAAAAGATTCAGAAACACAAGAGAAGAAATAAGTCTGTCTGAAGAAACTGACAGGTTCCTGAAGCAAGGGAGACTTTCTGAAAGATCTAAGTGAATAGCAAAGCTCATCCCAAGTACAAGCAGCAGAGGAAAATCACTTTACTATTCTCTTTAAACTCTGTGAAAGGAAAATGTCTCATTTATCTAACAGAGCACAAAGCCATAAAGCAAGCTGGAAGTTAACACCAGGTTTGCAAGGCCACTGTTTTGTGTCAAACTCGAGTAAAAAGAAGTTTTCAACCCCAAGCCTCAGCTGTACTCACACTGGCTGCCAGCCATTAATCCAGCCCTCCAGGCAGCAGTGGGGGGAGCCCTGCACAGCTACACCTCCTGCTACAGGCAGAAGTGCTCCAGGATCTTGGCCAGCACATAATAAACCTCCCACATCCAGATACAGGGTTTCTCTGTAATGTTACCTCCACACTTTCACAATTTCCTACCTGCTTGGGTGTTACCTGCACCCAATTTCCTACCTGCTTACTGTGGGGCTTCTCCACTGCCCTGTTCCCTCTCCAGCAAAGCCACCCTCGGCTCAGGATTTGTGTCTTGAAACAGCTTCAGAAAAGACACAAGGGTCTGAGTGTCCAGGGGCTGAGCATCCCAAGTGTCACTATCCTGGGTGTGAGCATCCTTAACTTTGCCCAGCAGCTTCTTGAACACTGAATGATCCTCTGCCTTGGCCAGAGCAGCCAGACCCTACAGCAGAACAGAAATGCAGGAAGATTTAGAGAGCAGTCAACTGCCCTATACAGAGAGACACAACAGGCTGAACCCTGGCGTTTAGGTCAGGGGACAAAAAATTAAACAGAACAAAAAAATAACCACACACACATACCACTGAATGCAAACTCTGGCCTGTGGCCACTCGCCCTTGGAAGCAGGGCAACAAGCCCTGCTGCCAGCCCTTATCCATATAGGAAATCCCATGAACTGGAGCTGGTTCCAGCACCAAACATTTCTTCATGTCCAACTAGCCAAAGACCACTACGTGAAAAAGACCTGATAAAGCATGAATTTAACGCTGCTACTTTGGAAGGCAAAGCTAGGACAAGAGATACTGGATCTCACTGCAGAACAAGAAGGGATCACTTGCACAGAAAGCAGAGACCATTTCAAGCGGAACTTTCAGGAATCTCCATTCTCAACCACAATGGAATTCTGTCTCCTAGAGAAAACTCTGGAGAGGAGGCACATAAACTCTGAGTGCTGTGGGCTCTCAGCATACCTGGCAATCAAACCCAGAGCTCCAAAATCTACTTCAGTGACCTGAAACAGCAATCAGAGGCAGACATGCTTGTACAGCTATGGAAATAAAAGGCAAAGAAATAAGCTGGAACTCTTACTCTCATTTCCCCAGAGTCCTTTAATGCTGTAAATATTGCCCCTGAAGACTCATGCTCCCCAACTCTCCAGGAGAGATGCCAGCCTTTCAGAGCAGGCAGCCTTTACTGGAGACTCCAGGGATTCGATAAAGGTACCTTTGAAATGGGAAGTTCAGCTCAGCTCCAGGGAGAATGGCCATTTTCTGCTGTCATTGTCATTTTTATTCTGATGATAAAAAGCCTGTATGCAACTGCTTGTGGCTGCACCAGGGCCGGTGGGCTGGCTTTTCCTAGCAGGTGTAAATGGTCACACATTAGGGCAGTGTGGCAGTGCAATGACCTATTGCAACGACTCCGCAGAGGGGAAACTGCAGCAGTCCCAGGTCTTCCCACTCACAGCAGCTTGCCTGCCTGCCAAACAGAGAGTGTGGACGTGAAGGGCTCTGGTGTAAAGAAAACACACATGTGCTGAAGAACAAACGTAAAGGTATTTTTTAAATGCAACATTAATTTGTAATGAGACTTGATAACCAGATCATGTTTGTTCTCCAGGTTTGCGTGCCTGGCCCCTTCCAGATCAAAATGAGCATGTAAAACACAAAGTATCTCCACTCTCACCACCTTAAAGGTGTTCATATCCTGCCAAATCCATGTTTGCACTAATATGGATGAAAAGTAACTTGCATTGTTGCAATATATTTTTCAATTTTAGGGATTTTTAATTAAAATCAGCACAGCATTGCTACCTCAGCATTGTTACCTGCCCCAGGTAACATCCCTTCCTCAGCACATGGATTTGGTTAATAGAAATAAGTTTTCAGTAACTGAAATATTCTGCTGTTTATAGGCTCTTTCCAGAAGACATTTCCTTAGACAAGTTGCTCAGTGGGAACAACAGCCTTTTAGCATTGTTGTGAAAGAGCACACAGTATACTTCAGACTTACATCGAAGCACTAACAATTCCCAAAGATCCTGGGAAAAAATGGAGAAATACTGATACCAGCAGGAATCCCAGCTTCCACTTAGTCTGTAATGTGCTTCCACATTACAGCCTGATCCACCAGGCTTTCACTGCCTGGGACACTGCAAAACTCTTCATGGCCAAGTTGGCACAAATTAGCAAACACCCAGCTTCCACTTGGGAGGAAGAGACTGCCTTCTGCACCAGGAAAATGCATCACCAAGACCTGGCTTAAGCGTGGTCAGAGCTGAGCCACCAAACAGATTCCATGGCACTCCAGAGGTTTGGTCCCCATTGAGAATATCAGTTCTGGTGGCCAAAACACTCCCACCTCAGCACCATGGAACACATCACACACCATGGAACAGCCTTCCCAGCTTATCTCAAACATGCCCATGTCCACAGCAGCCCCATGGCAAGCTCTGAACAGGTTAACCTCTGCAGGTTAAGGATCTAGGAGATAGGTCTCCTGTCTCCATAGCATCTCCACATCTTCCATGTTTTTCCAGAGATCTCAACCACATGTGCAAATAAAGTACACCTCCCCTGAGCAATGTGCAGTGGCCCATAACTGAGACTAAAGAGGGATGTGAGGAGAGAGGGAGGGCATGCAGCACAGTCATTAGCCCAGGTGGCCATTAACTCTTCTCTGCAGGTGGGCGAGCACGGTTATGGCTTTTCATGCCTTATCCATGCTCCTGCTCCCACCATGAGAGCACATCCCAGCAAAAAGCCACTTTATTGACTATTTCTGAGTGATCTTCAAACATCAGCTTTAGAGTGAATGCAAGCATCCAGAGGATGGTGGGTAGGGATCTGCCTAGATCAGAGACAGACTGGGAAGCACCAGCTCAGGGTGGCAGAAAAAGCTGACTCCCTTCAGACCTGAGGGACACTCAGGTACACTGCAGGATGTCAGGCACTGTGGGGAAACTTCCATAGCCATAATCATCAGTCCTCTGTAAATGCACGCTGCTTTGGGTTTTGATGTACAGGTGGTGATGAAAATATAAAAAAGTGATTGGAAATCTGCAGGGTTAGGGACTGTTTCACTGCTGGCTCTTCTGTGGCTCCATGGTTATCCAACCTTTGGAAGTTGAGCAGCACTGTTCCATAGGCTGCTGCTGCTCACAGGGTCAGTAGCATGGACAACCTCAGGACTGGCTCCACACACCTCACCCTCAGAGAGGCCCCCTGGCTGTGACCCCACCATTAAGTCAGTCAACCATCAATCAACTATTGTATTGTGCATACAATAATCAGAGAAAAACTATGTTCATGTTTTTCCTTCAGAAACCTAAAGGGATTTTTTTTCAAGCCTGCATCTGTAAATGACTCATGCGGGAGATCCCAGGAAGGCTCTGTGGAAAACACTGACCCCCTGCTTGATCCACACAACAAGAACAAAAACTCAGCCCAAACTTCTACAAAAATATACCAGAACAGAGGAAAAAAAAGTTCTCTAGCTCTGCCACCATGAAAAAAAACACCAAATCCTCACAAGCTCTCTCCTCTAATCAGGATGCAGAAGGTAACAGGAAACTTCTTTCTTCTGCCTTATCCAGAAATCTCTGCATCTGCAAATGAAGGGCGACAATGACTGGACAGGCCCACAGGCAATGGAAATGAACCACAAACACAGTGACATTTATTCTACCTGGGAGAATCAACGCTCCCCCTCTTCATCTAAACCTGGTAGTAGAGGGAACAAATGAGCTGTGCAATAATTTGAATTGAGTTTCTCTAAGAGAGCACAGGAAGATAAGACTTGACATCAGCAAAGCTCTTCTACGCTTCCCTAAATTACTGCAATTTCAGTCTTGTTCTCGTTTCCAAGCAGGTTTCATCCAAGCCAAAACCAAATTAGATAGGAATAGTTTATGTGAAATATACAGAGAAAGTAAAAAACAGAATCAACCCCAAAAATCACATCTCCTTAAAGTGAAAAGCAATTCATCTGCATTTTTCAGTCTGGGGAGCAGAACGGAATATCAAACTCAGAGAGAAGCAACAGTTCTCACAAAAGCCAGCCCCGCACCACAAACTTTGTTGGGGAAAAACCTCACAACCAAATGAGTCTCCACTGGAGGTAGGAGGAAATAGGCAGGAACAGAGTGCTGCACAGAACAAGATACCATGCAGGGATGAGTTCACCAGCAAAGGAAAATAAATAGAGAGGCATCCAAGGCCAAATTCCACTAAAACCACAGGAGCCTGAACACCAGGACAGCCTTGGTGCCAACAGGCAGTCTGACAAAACTCCCCTAAACTTCTATGCTGCCCAGGCTTTACCTCCCAAAATGATTGATGCTTTCCTAGAGATCAGCTGCTTCCAAAAGGCTCCCGAGAGAATACTCCCGCTGAATGGGAGATCTCCCCTGCAGGAGGGCAAGCACACCCAGCAAGAATGACTTTTAAAGAGAAGACATGCTTTTACTTGCCCCAAGGCACTCAGACTTCAAACAAATGACTAGCAAAAGAATACAAAGAAAGGGAGGGGGGAAAAAATGAGAGAAGAAAAATCCACTGACATCTACCACTGGCACAACCTCAGCCTGAGTTACACATCCCAGTTCAGCTCTTTGGAGCTGAACTTGCACTTCAAGCATGACTTTAAAAATACACTGCTGTGGTTCCCCCCAAAGGAAACACCAGGCTCTTGTGGGGAAAAGCTGCTCTGTGTGCTGAAAACAGACTCAGTGCTAAGGTCCACAGGTCCTGCTGGTCCCAGAGGGGAGCTTGGAGAGGGACAGGTCTGGCTGAGCCCTTGCTTATAACAGGCTGCAGCCTGTTCTTCCACTGCCTGGGGCTGACACTTCATGCTTGTCACAGTTGAAAAGTGATTTTTCAGGAAGCCTTAAAGAAAATCCATTTTTCATTTATTCAGCACTTATTTATAGCTGCAGAAAAATTGTCCGGCTACCACTCTGCGGTCAGACACCCAAACTGGCTCTGAGCTCCACAACCTCTCCCTTGGCTCCTGCTGTAACAGCTCATTTGGGAGCACAAAAGGCCAGGAATGGATCTGTAAACCTTCCCTAATGGGTCTGAAGTGGTGAAGGAACACGAAACGGCAGCGACAGCAAAGCAATAGCAAACAGGGCTGTTGTGCAGTGCTGATGCTGCAGCACACCTGCCTGGGCACTCCGCCAGCACAGCTCTGCCCAGCCACCAGCAGTAAGGGGAGGCAGGAACAGGGACAGGGCCGGCTGGCATGGGGACATGAAGCTGCCAGATCCCTTCTGGCAGCACCGATCCACACTGCACAGCGCCCACCCCAGTGCGGCTCCATTCGTAAAAGTGCACAACAGGTAAAACCCTAAACCTGACACACTTATCTGATCATGGTGAAAAACAAACATACAAAAATCTAATCCTTCTCTGAGAAGGCACTCGGAGGTGCTTGTCTGCCCAGCTGGGCTTGTGCTTGCTACTACAAATATGGATTAGGACCCACACCTCTCTCCTAAAACCCCTAATATGTTATATTCCACAACATCAGGAGAACCAGCTGCTTAGGGAACACGAGCTTCCCTTCATGAACATTTAAGGGCTCAGCAGAAAACAATCCTGCACTCCCCAACTCAAGGGAATTCTCCTCCCTGCTGTCACAAGTTTGGGGTTTTTTTTCTAATAAAGATGTGGTCTTGGGCTTTTATAAGCAGAATGCCACAATCATAAAAACATATCATGTCCTGTGATCACACACTGCTACTGGAGGGACTTTAATCCAGACAGCTTCCAGCCAGCAACCACATGGGAACTTAGAGAGCATGGCAACCCCCAGCCTACAGAACAGCACTGCTCCAAAGGTTGAATAACCAGGGAACCATGGTAAAGTGAAACAGTAATACTTTTTCCCCTTCAGAAAGGCATGCAGGACAGTTCATGCAGCTTGGTAGAAAAATGCTCTACCAGAAATGGCTGGGCTGAGAACAGCAAGCACAGTCCCATCCTTGCTCTACACTGGCTACAGCTTTTCTGCAGACCCTGCCACTGCACAGCAGTGTGCAGCCAGCACGAGTGCCCACCTAGACTCACCACAATCATTCACAAGCTCTGTGTCCTCCTGCTCCACTGTCAGACCAGTACAGACATCAGACATCACATTCGGCTTCTGTGTTGCCCTCGAGCTGGGACAATGAGTGGCATCTGGCTACCACAGCTCAGAGCCCAGAGAACCACTCAGCATACGTCCAGCTCAGTTAACCCCTCCAACAGGAATCAAGCATAGTTTACCAACTCTGACTGCTCTTAAATCAGCACACTGGCAGGAGAAGCACCACGGGGCAGCTCCCAGCTCCCCCTGTCACACCCTGTCCCACTCCTCCCTCAGCAGCTCTGCCGTACAGAGAGCAGCAGATGCTTCACAGCAAGACAGTGTCGAGGGCTCAGGATATCTATTTTAGGATCTCATATGTCAGCCATTTACAAGTCGATACAATTCCTGAAGCAAATGCCAAAAACAGGAGAAGAGAAATCTGTGCTGGAGCTCTCCTACAACACAAGGATGTCTTCAGGGCAGGACATACTTCTTTACCTGCATGCCTGAGCAACCTGCATTTACAGACGCTTCTCTCAGGTGAGCACATGTTGCCCTTCAAACAACCAGGCAGCAGTTTCCCATGAAACAATTTCCTAAACAAGGCACAAAATATTACAGCCCTTCGCAGGGTGAAGAAAAAACTTTCATGATTTATGGACGTAAACACACCTACCTCCTTTTGAGAGGCATCAATTTCTCTGCACTCTTTGAGTCTTTTCAGCACAGCCTGGGCATCAGAAAGAGTCTCAGAGAAAACATTTTCAGATCAAACAAAGAAATCCATTTTATAGTTTTGCTCTCTGCTGCTGTGCGAGAGAAACAAGGTTAGTTATTTGCTAATTGAATGGATTTGCAGAAAGCATGATGTGATTGAAAGGCATCGGTTTGTAACCAGCACATTGGCTATAAAAGGAAAACTGTGACTTATAAATCCCTTCTGAAGACATGACACAGCCTGGAGGGAAAACCAACAGTTTATTTAACACCAGTTATAAATGGAACATTTATTTTAAACCCAGTACAGCCTCTGTTTTCCTCCCATCCTGAATAGGAGTTTAAAGGATAAGGTAGTATTAGCAAGCAACTCTGTTCACTTGCTGTTAGACAGATTGTCTAATCAGCCCTATGTCCTGCAGTAACACAGATCACACTGCGTGGCAATCACATGCCCGGCCAATAAAAGTTTTGCTCACTACAGCTCTGGCAAAGCAATGAGCATGAAGCAACTACAAAAGCCAAAGGAAGAAAATCTCTGCAGAACAGGAGGATACGTTGCGGTTTCTCCCAACCCAGGACAAACTAAAAAGATTAAACAGAGAGTAAAAATTACCCCAAAACAGGCAAATGTGAGCCAACGTGTTGCAAATAAGAGGTAATGGTGTGTCCAGACCCATGACATCTCACCTAAATCCCTTGATCGCCTTTCCCCCTCTGGCAGCTCAGCAAGCTCCTCTTCCATACCAGCCACTCCACTCAGCATGGGCAGGCTGGTCAGGGCCAGAGCCTGAATCCTCCCGGAGGGACCTGCACTCACTTGACATTGTGTCCTGATGAACCCAGGTATGATTCACGGTAAGTTCCTAGCCAGGAGGAGAAACACCTGCTTCCATTTCTGCTTCTACAGGGTAAAGAAGAAACTCTCTGAATGAGGATAATAAATGTTCTTTCTTCATCAGGTCTTCCAGACTGGGGCAGGTAATTAGCTTCAGCTTGGTTTCCAGATGAATCTGCTTCCTGGCTGAAGATTCCTTTTACTACCTGGTCCTGAGCAGAACAACTTATGAGATCCCTGAGGAGGTTTTTGCAACTAACAGCCACATCAAACATCTGCAGACTATCTGCCACAGAGATTACTTTGGTGAAATTGTGTTTCCTCAGTGGGAGTTTGCCATTGTACGTAATCTCAAGTAAGAGTGGAAACTCCTAAGGTGTTACCACAGAAGCATCAGTTGGAGATGGTGTCTGTGCTGTCCAACACGGATTTAAACAGCAGGCTGGCAGGAGCCAAAACCACCTTGTGCATTCTAAAATGCACATTCCCAATGAAGATGGTGCAGTCACAGAAGGACTGCTCCTTGCAGAGAGTGTACAACCAGGGCAGCAACTCCAGCCATAACTGGGAAGCTCCTACTGGCCTCCTTTTGCCTTGGTCTCACACTGCTTTTACAAAGCTCAAATAATGAAAAGGAAATGGATCCCGGTAGCACTTCTCTCTACAAGACAGAAAGAAAGAGTAAGAAAATGACTTTTCAGTTTACACATTTTAGTAGTTTACGATGCTTCAATTCTTTGGTAACAGCAAGATCCTCATTCTGAACTCACACTCCTCAAATTCAGCAACTTACTCTGACACCTGAAGAGTCTAGATAGTGTTCAAACCTAAATGAGCAGATATGGACTGGGTACTGAGTCCCAGGAGCTATAAAAAAGGAGTAGAGCCTCCCTGATGTGCCATACGTCTCATGGAGGTGTGAGTGAGTGCCCATCAGATCAGGCACCGCAGTGCCAGGCTGTGCCTGCAGCCAGGGGCTGGAGCTGATGCTGAATTCAGCAGCTGGTTTCTGAAAGGGCAGGCAGGGAAGCTGTTGCGGTGCGTGTCAGACCGCCAGTGTTTCCTGACCCAGCTAGCAGTGGAGCGTCTGGAGACGGGTCAGCAACAACACCGCCAGGGATCTGCGGGGCACATGGGGAAACCCTCTGGTCTCGGGAGCTCGACGATGGTGTGGTCAAGTGGCACAGCAACAAAGAAGGGACAGGTACAGCTGAAATGCCAAAACTGAAGATATTTATTAAATAAATAAAAGGGCGTAAACATGGGTGCAAAACAAAACATAAAAAGGCTACTTCAGAAGACATCGAAGTGAGGCCAACATGCATATATATAGTCTCTCATAGAATGTAGACTCTCAGAATGTTCTAGAAGCCTTCTGGCTAATCATGGGCTGTTGATCTGCATGGCCACTCCCAACTGGTCCCAGAGTCCTTTGCAAGTCCTTTTCTCCTCACCATAAGCTGCTTGGATGTCATCAGTTGTGGCTTCTTCTTTCTTGAGGCCTGATGGTGGGGTGTGGCTGTGTGGCCAGTCCCTAGCCCATCCCTTCCAGGACAAACTTGCACAACTCCTCCCTCTTCTTTCATTTAAAATAAAAAGTATAACAGTCTTATTTTAACTAAAATGACACTCTACTTAATGGACTTTATAATCCATTTAACTAAACTTGAGAACAAAAATACATTGAATACTGTAAATAAAGTTTACAACTAAACAGGTGGGTTCATGCTGCAAAGTTAAATAAATAAACAAATGGGTCAACTGGCCTAACTCCGAGGGTCACCCTCATAATTAAACAGGAAATAACAGCAATCTCGGCAACAAACAAATTATAATTATATATATATAATTATAACAAAATTATAAGTATAAATAAATAAATAAATAAATATATATATATAAATTATTATTATATTCCTGAATTATAACAAAAATCAGGAACTGCCAATTAACTATAATAGGAAAGTGGGGGTAGGGTTGAGGGCTGACAGAAAGCAGTTAGGGAAGAATGGCCAATCTTCCCTAATGGCAGATTAGGGATGGCAGATTCCATCTCCCATTCCATTCTCAGGGTCAGTGGGTTCAGGGACATGGGGGGCATAATGGCATAATGCAAAAACTGGGAAAGGAAGTCTGTTAAATATTGCAAAATCAAAACTAAAATTTAAATTATTACCTTATTGAAATGAAAAATAATCTCTTAGCATCCCAACCATGTAACAAAACAACAACACAATAAATGCATCTCAAAAGAAATCAATTAAATTTAAGAAAAATTCTAGAGGGGAGTGGGGTTGATTATTTTGATCTTAAAGTGTTGATGTAATGGTTTTAGGGTCTTCTTTGGCAGCTTTTAAAAGGAAAGCAAGACTTAAAATTGAAAGGTTACATCCCCTCTCTCCTCTGCTGATCCTCACGAAACCTCGCTCCCGAGTACCAAAGCCCGCGGTGTTCTAGGGCCTCACATTGGGAGTCTCTCTGAGCTGTCCTCAATACCCCATGTTCACTGGGGGGCAGCGCTCTTCAGTCGGGTGCCCGCATCCTCCACCACGTGTTGCAGCCCGTCTCCAGCCACTCCACTGCTAGCCGGGTCAGAGAGATCACTGGCAGTCGGACACGTGCCGCAATAGGAAGTAGGGCATGAAGACCTGTTCAGACTACAGAGGAGAATCTGAGGTGTTAGTTTGAAGCTGCAAAGCACTAAGTGATTTGGGACCAGTTCATTTTCTCCCCCAAATCACTGGTAAGATGAGCAGGGTCATGTGAACATTAGAGACAGGACTCTGCTTGCATCCCAGGGCCTTCAGCACACCATGGTCTCAGCTCATTGATTTATGAGTCTTTTCCCCTAAAATGTAATTTCTGGGAGAAGTCCATAAACCTAATCCCATCTACCGGAGCCCCTCTTTAACCTCTATGCCTCCCCAACCCACTGCAGGAGGGAGGAGAGATAGGACATCTGCTAATAGAATTTTTATCATTGGGTCATCTGGAGTTTTTATCTAAGATAGACAAGATAAAGATATTACTGCCTTACTGCCTTGTCCACACACTAGGATGCCTAACAAGTGGCATGTTAGGCAAAAGGGAACAGTATAAGCATTAGAGAAAGAGCCTGTGGATGGACACGAATAACATGATCTTCAACGTTTAACATCTTTGCACTCAGCTTCCTGCTTTCTTGTAGGTAACAGGACTAGTATAGTCTATCACCAGGGTACGAGCTTTAACAGCCACTGTACATACACCAATCTCAAAGCTCTGCCTCGCATGAAATCAGGCTCAGAGGCTCTCCCACCTTGTATCAAATCACATCATAAGCAGATGCTGGGTGCAGGCTGAGCTGACATCTCACTTCTTGAAGGCACCAACTCCTCTGGAGCTCAGCTTTTGTGGGAAGCAGGACTTCCTGTCCACAGGCAGGCAGGACCTCAGCTGTCCTTCTGCATGGCACTGCTTTTGGTGGCTGTAGAAAGACAGAGAATAGAAGAATAGAAGAGAGTAGAGACATCACCTCATCCCAGACCTACAGAAGGCTGAACAACAATGTTGGTAGATACCAGAAATGCAGGAGGGCTCTCCTGTGCAGCCAAGAGCTCCCTCAGGCTTTAAAGATGAAGTGCTATGAAACTTGTTTTTCCAGCACTGGGAGAAGATCATAGATGGCTTTGACATCACCTCAATGCAGAGGTGTTATGCTCCTCAGTACTTCTGAAGCAAGAGCACAGGGCTGGTGAGTCCTTCTCTGTAAGGCAGAAAAAACCGTGCGGGTTGATAGCCCACCCTCCTGCCCCGGCCCCAACAAGCCAGAACTTCTTCAGGCACATCACTATCAAAGGCTGGCTGATCTGCAGCTCATCTTTCCAAGTACCAGATCCACCCCCTCCCCCCTGTACACGGCCAACCACCTGTACTTCCAGTCGATCCAACATGCAGGCTCTGCTCTCCTCCCACACCATTTTAAACCACAAGGAACCAAGCTGCCATCAGCAGAGTTGCTGCTGGTCGTGGGAGAAGAGACAAACCCGATTCTTTTGCCAGACTCCATGTAATAGCAGTTTTAGTCCACCCACTCCTTCCTCAGAGGATTTCAACTGGAAGTCCTTCAGCTGAGTTGAAACTGAGTCTGCTGGTTAAATAATAATAGCTACGGCTCTTCCTACAAAATGATAAGCAGGAGAAATCGATGTCCTGGAAGAGACATCTGCTCACTTTTCCATGAACAGCCTCCTGCATGAAACTTATTGCTTGCACCGTGGCAAGCTGGAGGAAGCAGCAGCACTGTCTGCTCCCTCTATTCCTGGCAGGAATATAGAAGACATATTTGCTCATGAGAGCTCAAAACAGTGAAGCTCTAAGCAGCCTACCAGCATGTCCCCTTCTTCATTACAGCAACTCGGAGTATTGGAAAATGTGTCCTGAGTAATTAGCACAGACATATTTGTTTAAATACATTTTATTTCTTTATTTATAGGAACCCAAACCATCCAGTACCATCAAAGAGAACAGACATTTATAACAAGGGGTGTTGGCCAAGACCAGCCCTAAGGCATTTGCACCCTATTCAGAGGACCCAAGAGCCAGAGGGGACCACCATCAGCAATCTGATTGCTCATCCATCATTGCCTCACAGATTTCCAGGCTCAGTAACTTGGGTTTGACTAATGTCTCTCTTCCAGTAAGAAGCTCAGTCATGATAACTGGTTTTTAAGTGCAGTATCCTCCACCATCACACAGTTAAATTTTGTGTGACTATGTCTCCTAGCCATCCACTAGATTACTTTTGGGAGATTTGGCTGGGGAACTGGGCAGAACTGGGAATCTCTCTCTGAGAGCAGGTAACTGGTACTTCAGCAGCGATGAGTGCTGACAGAGCCTGCACTGTCTTCCTCTGCCAACACCAGTGGTAGGAAAAAGCCAATTGTCACTTCTTCAGCTTAAAGCGGCTTCTCTGACTCCTCTTGGGAGTCAGCCCCACTGGGGACTTCAAACTTAAGGTAAAACATGGCTTAAGCAGACTGTTCCTGGGTTGTCTCACACATTAGCCACATGAGAACTGCCCTCTTCCAAAATACCACTCACTGGAGTCAGAAAGGGGACAAAGGAGACAGGGCATTTGCCCAATAGAGCTGCACAACAGGCCTTGCAAAATTAATCCTTTGAGGGGACATCTTAAGCCTCATTCCTGTCAGTTTTCCAGGGGAAGCACCAAGGTGGCTTAGGAGTTTTCCTTCCACTGACTTCCAATGAAACTGCAAGATCAATCCATTTAAGCCAAAATTTCAACAGTGCCTACAATTTCTAAGGCTCTACTTGACAACTTTTTGATAAATATCTCTTTGTCACCCTTAAGCAACAGTTGTCATCTGCGACTGCTCTCAGGACGCCCACTTCAGCAAAGATGACTCTTTTCCTTCTGAACCGCAGAAGTACTGGAGGTCCAGAACGTGTCTGCAGAAAACATCACCCTCTACTGTGCAGTTTCAGCTCTTTATGCTTTTTTTCCACTTATTTCTGTCCTCCCACACCTCCACAGTTTGAGGCTATCATGTTGTTTTCTTTAAACTACATTAGAACAGGAAAAAGATCTCTCAATAGCAATGACCTTTCTTTTTTGGGGGAAGTTGAAGGAAGAATGAAAGAGGAAATTCTATCCACAACTGAAAAGTGTGCCCAAATTAAATCACTTCTCTTCATTATTCATATAATTACTTGCATCTAGATCCAACAGACTCAAAAGCCATGCACATCACCAGGTTCATCAAAAGATAACTGAAATTTAGGACCAAGCACTTTAGCAATCAGACTCTACAGAGACAGGGGCTCCAAAGGTGCACGGACGACACACCATCCCACCCTCACAGTTTCTGCTGCCACTTTACCCGCACCTTCAGAACATCCATCACAAGGCACAGAAAGAACTGTAATGCCTCTAAAGTTTAAGCAAAAGGATTCTGTATATCCCTTGCTATATAATTAAGGATTTTTACAAGGTGTGTCAACATAGCTGCTGTCATTAGTAATGTAACAATAGCTCTTCCTGTATCCATCTCAGTGACTAGCTTGAGGATGTATTCCATGCCTGAAATTCTCACCAGAGATGCACATGGAGTAGGCTTTTTGTAGCTTTAAAAAAAAAAACAAAAAAAAAAAAAACAAAAAACCCCAAAAAAACAAAACAAAACAAAACAAAAACCAAAAAAAAAGTTAAAAATCCAACACCTATTGCCTCACTGCCAAAGGATGAAGCTGTCCAAGCATACTAGTTCTGTGTGGCACAGACCCACAGCCTAGTGCTCTGCTGCAGCCATGCAGAGACAGGGAACCTGCAGTGCTCACATGGATAATAGAGCTATATAAAATCATCCTGCACACCCAGTGCAAAACTATAAGACAGGGAGTCCTATGCAAGATCTAAAAAGCTAAAACTAAGAAGGCAGGGAAAAAAAGTGGACAGAAAGAGATAAGCAAAATGGAAGTATCCAGCTTTTCTGTCCCCACTTAATGCCACTTCTGTTGGAGCTGATCAGAGGGGCTCACAGGAGCACTCCCACAACCCTCCTGTTCCCCACACTCAGCTCTCTGCTTGGGGAGCTAAAATCCGAAGTGGTCATTGCAGGAGAGTGTTTGCCAGCCCAGGAAGGCTCCCTGCCCGGTGAGAAGAGCTCACCATATCCCAGCCCATTTGCACTCAATCAAAGTCTCATTTCACAATCCTCACGGAAATCAGTGAACGAAGTAGGATAGAAAGCTGGGATACATCTCTTGTGTTGCTCAGGCCTGCAGTCCCTTGGGCATGACAGTGGCCTCGGAGTGAGGGGGCAATGTTCTATTTTTAGCTCTGGGGAGTTAAGAGCAGAGACAGCCTTAAATCACGATCTGAATACTTTCTGCGGCTGTTTACCAGTTTCCTGTTTTCTTGTTACCAAGATGATGATCTTACACTGAGGGTTATTAGAAAGCCAGAAAATCAAGGACTGCAATTCAATTTTCTTACCTCTCCCACAAAAAGTAATTCAGCCTTTGAAGTGCTGAAAGAGGCTGAGGGGTCATTAATTGTCTCTGGGGTGCTCCAAAGGGGCAGAGCAGGCAGCTCACCCAGAGGATAATGTGAAATCCAGCACAAGGAACCAGGGCACACCAATTTGTTTTTCAGTCTATTTTGATGCAGTTCAGAGCATCAGTGCAGACTAGTAACAGAGGAAAATAAGCAACACTTTGACTAAATTCAGCACTCCACAGTCTCTAAAGGCAGCAGAATATACCACTCAAACCCCACACATTTTGGCTGTCTGCACTGATGAATAGATCAAAAAACAAACAGCTCTTCTACAACTCTTAAAGGCAAATTTTCTTCAAACCAAGAACTGCGCCAAAAAGCAAGCAAAATCATGCAGTGGGAAACCTGCACAAACCCAAAGAAACAGCCAGTTTGCTCCAGTCACTGCTCAGCCATGGATCACCGTGCCCAAGAACACCAAAAGTGCTAATTATATTTTGCAGGTTCCCTTAACATCCTCAAAAAACAAAAGCTGGGCATCTGAACTGCTTTTTGTAAGGTAGGTTTACGTCACAGATGATGGTGTGTTGCAATTGCTTAGTGACTTATTAAGAAAAACAAAGTTTTTGACCAGTTTTTTGTGACCCATTTTGCATCAGCAGAAGTACAGGAGCCATTTGTTCCCACAGCCAAGGGCTGACATGGCTCTTTGCCACCCCTAAGGTGCCTTGATGCAAAGGCCTTTAAAATTATACTTCTCAGGCATGGTTACCCCAAAATGGATCTGATTCCCCCAGACTTCTTTTTAAGTACACAGGATTACTGGGAGCTGAGTCTATCAAGATACCTGGACTTCCACCACTGCCACCTCCTGCATCAGGCTGTCAAGAGAGGCACCTCCTCAGCCCCAAAACTCCACTAAGACAAAAGGACTTTCAACAACTCTTCGAACATGAGTGCAGATGCTCCAAAACAGCAGAGGAAGATTGTGAAAGCCAAGTAGGGTTTGCCCACAAAGCCAACATGCCTCCTCCATCTCCTGGAATAATTTTATAACTGCTGAGCTGATTTTTGAGGGACAACATGGACACTTTGGGCACCTTCTTTAAGTGGTATGTCCAGGAAGTTACAATACAGTGGAAAGAGAGAAAACAAGAGTGAATAAGTAGGGCACGGAGGCTGGGAAAGGACCTCTCTGTTCTGGTCCATATTTCAACAAGTTGTTCCTGCACCATTCTGTCTTTGAACCAGGATGTAAACTCAAATTCCTCTTCCAACACAAGGCACTTGGCATATCTTAACCAGAACCCTGCAGAACCCTTCTGCCTTATGCTATGTATAGCCCATAAATCAGGTGTGTCAGCCTTCCTGACCAGCACAGTAGAGGAAACTGCCCCCAAGCCTCACCTCACTGCAGCTTCTCCCTCTGCATGGAGGACGTGGGTCCTGGTCAGGACCCCCCACAGCACCTCTCTGTAACATATCTCGCCTGCCCTGGGGACAGGGACAGCCCCGAGGCTCTCTTCTCCCTGCTCCCCTGCAGCAGCTCAATTGAGCTGGAGATCACAGAGGAAACCAAATGAGACTCCTCATTTTTTTTGGTCTAGTGAAAAAAAAATGTTCCTTTGTCTCTTGACAGGTCAGTCTTGATGGATAATCTCAGAAAACAGATGTGATCAGTGGTCCAAAGCAAGGAGAGGAATCTACTGTGACCAAAGGACAAGATAAAACTTCCATG